TGGGGGGGGGGGGACCAGGGAGAGCTACGAGGAAACATGAACATCTTGGCTCATGCCCCAGCTGATATTAGTCAACATTATTACTTTCATAATTCAAATCAGGAATGTTACAGCCAAGGTAACCTACTACAGTGCAGGAGCTACTTGACAAAATGGGTCTCCACAGATTCACTTGCCTCCAGATAATAGTGAGGATTATTAAGAGCCATATGTATAGCAGCTCTTGGCGTGCCCACGATATGTCTCTTGACGCCTGCCAAGTTACTGAAGAAGAGGACTTCATTGAATGGTGTATTTGTTGGTGGAACAAGGAACTGCGGAAACACCGTTCCAGCCAAGTAATCCAGCAGCTTCTTCCTTGCCTCTTCGTAGCCTGACAGCGACTTCGGCTTACGTGACAACTCCAGCAGTTTCTTAACAAATAAACACGCACATCAATTTCAGTTTTTTTACACGCAATTTTATATTTAATTTCTTTGGATGAGACACAACCTATCTTCCCAAATGCCCCACTTTTATATCAGATTTGGGTCTATGGCTAAGAAAACACTTCCTATTTCGCTCTGTACATGTGGAAGAACGTCACTGTGGCTTAAAAGACATTCATAAAATTCAACATTTCTGGTCCCTACCAAGAGCGGAGCTCACAAAATATTCTAAACCACACATGCCAACAGCTACTACCCTTCTTCATGACCAAAATTAATTATTACGAAAACTGTACTTAATATTCACCAGGGAAAAAAAATCACATATGACAAGATGTCCATAAGAAACATTTTACAATTCAATGACAAGATTTTTTCTGAGAAAAACAGTATGTCAAATACAGTCGCAGACTGTGACTTTATTAGGAATGTATATGTAATCTAAGGAACCTTCTCACCCTTCCCAATTTAATTTCAACACGAACAGCATGAACTTGCATGTCTTTATCATTAGTGAACTACACACATTTTAAAAGATCGTCAATGGTTTTATGAACCTGCAAGTACCTCTTTCAGTTGATACCTGTTGATATTCTTCCCAATGTCAACTTTACTTGGACTTTTCAATGTCTGTTCGGCAGCTTTTATCCCCACACTGACTATCTCGGTGTAATATCTGGACAGTTCCTGATGTATGTCCTTCAGGTGCGAGACTTTCACTGGCAAGTCGCTTGAGACGTTTTGAAGGATGCTGAGAACTTTCTTCAGTTTGTCCAGTAACTCTTCCCGTGACTGGAATCCAAGTAGCTGGAAGCACTCTCTGAACTGGGGTGATTCAGAAATGTCGCAAGAGATGGCGAGGCTGTACACTTCTCGCAGCTGGAAGAAATTTTAAACTTCTGTGATTTTTATGGGTTAGAGGCACAGCAGCCAACAGTCACTGTCAAGGAATAATCTGACTTTTATGGAAACTGCGTGATCACGGTCATGTGCACAAGAGCCCACCAAGGATTCTTAATGTGCGCCACACAAATCTAACCAACACCTTCCAACACTATTACCCCATGACACATTTTAATATTATACTCAGCTAGCTCAGGTCTTCCTTTCAGACTATCCAACCAAAGTTTTGTACACAGTTCTAATATCCCCTCTGCATGCTGCATGCTAAGCCCATAAAATCCTCCTTCAACAGATCATCCTAACAACATATGATAAATTGTATAAAGTATTGAGCTGATGAAGATTACCGTCTTCTGGGTTGTTGCGCTGTCAGGGCCCTGATGATGGAGGCAGTATGACCTCTGAAACGTCGGTTAACATCGACCAGACTACACAGCGCAACAACCCAGAAGACGGAAATCTTCATACTCACCGCTGAGAAAACCTCAAGTCTTACATATTGAGCTGATCATTATGCATTTTCCTCCAGCCTCCTGTTGCTTCCTCTCTCTTAGGTCCAATTATTCTCCTCTGCATTCTGTTTTTAAAAAGCCTCATCTCTTTTCTTCCACTAACATGACAGACCAATATTTTTGAATTTACATTTTAGACAGAAAACAGGAGGGGAAAAACTCTGAACTGCATAGTAAGAAGCGTTACCCAGATCCAATTCTCCTTTATTTCTCTGAGAATATAATTCTGACTTATTACCACCATCCCCAAATATCTGAACTCATTTAACATTTCATAATATGCCAGTTTTTACAGCAAGGTGTCATCAGATCCCCACCACGACGAAACATTTTCTGACCCAAGTGTCGAACATCGTAAGACTGAGACTTCGAAGCAAATATTTTTTTATCACTGTGCACAGGACACAGACAAGTTAGCCCACAGGCACAATGACGACGCTCATTTGTATAAGATCGCGGGTTTTCACGGCAGTGGTAATGTGGATTGTGGTCTTTTGGGTTGTGATGCCGTGTGGTCTTGCAGCAGGTTACTGACGTTCCTCCGATGCATCAGTAACTACATACAAGAGTACGTGATGACACTGCAGAACAAACTGAAGGTGCTGAAGATTGAT